ATTTGCCTTTAGACCCATAAGATTGGAAATGGAACCCACCAACGAGGCTTGTTCAAGGCACCACGTAAAGCAAATTCCTGCATAACTTCGACGTCAAGGCCACGGGCTGAGACTCAAATGGCACCTGCGGGACATGGTCAATGACCGCTGGGCTCGGCATCTAACATAAAAAGAAGGTTGCTCATGCCCAGTTAAGTGGTTCCAAGAGCGCGGTTGCAGGTCTCCCAAAATTATCTCACTCCACTGGCAGATTACCCGCCGGTTCCAACCCACCAATGAGTGGTAGATCACTCAGGGCTGGAATAGAAAGGCCTTGCTTTGCCTTGGTGTGAACGCTGCCTCCATGGTTTGCCCTCCTGGAAAATTGTTGAAACCTTGAACACATTTTCCTACAGTGTCTGAGTTCAATCCGGACATGGCAAAGGTGGGGTAGAATATGGTAGATGATAGTGCAGGACGTCTGCTCAGCGCTAGCACCGCGGATTTTCCCCATCGGCAATGCCTGCCTGCCTGCCCCTCATCACCCTGTTGAGGGACTGGTACAGCCTTGCTCTTGCACCACTGCTGGGGTGCCAACCTACCCCCTGGGCTAGGGAGAGATCTGGTTTGGTTGGTGTTCCCCCCTACTATACATAAGACTACCTAGCGAGAGGATGAGATAGATGAGTACTGGGGCTAGGTCCCACTGACACGAATTAAGCGATATTGACCGTAGATAGCAAAGATCAACGGCCAGAACCTCTTAATCCGTGCAAGTGGGACCTTGCCCCTGGCAAGAAGATGAGATAGATGAGAGAAGAGTATAGCTTACTTAAAAAAAATATATAAAAAACAGAGAAGGCGGCCTCGTGCCATTGGGCCAGCCCAGTTGGTACTCCTATGACCGTTTTTTTTTTTTTTTTTTTTTTTGTAATTTAGAAAGGGGGACGGCCTTGAGATATTATCATTGAGCTGACCGGCCCCAAGCAATTCATTAGTAGTTGGTTTTACTCGTCAAGTTCCAACCTCTGGATTCGAACACAGGTCTGTATTTCAACAGTTCATTGGGTGTACCCACTGAGCTAGGCTCTTGGGTCTCCTATGAACTGTTGAAACACGGACGCGAGCTCAAGCCCGGAGGGGGAAGTAGTTGAGCGAATTTCGGCATTACCTGGGCCAGTCAGTTCAATGTAGTTATCTCAAGGCTGAAAGAAAAAGGGAAAAGACAGGGGGACCTCAGGCCATACACTGGAGAACCCTCCTGTCCTGAGACAGGAATGTATCTGAGGGTAACTACGATGCATCTAACGGTTCACGTGCGGAGATCGGTCCAAAAAAAACTCCTATCCTACGGTAGTGTTTATGCTCTCAGGTGTGGGTTGGGTGTCGGGTGGGCGTTGGTGCCTTCCATTAACCACCCCCCCCTCCCCTCTCTCCGGCCCCCACGGGAGAGTCCCGCCGTTGTCCTCTCAACCACCCCCACCTACCCCTCCACCTTCACCATCCTCCTCCTTCACCTCCTCTATCTGATGTGGCGCTGACTCCATAGCCTAAATCTTCGCCGTCCTTGGCTCAGGTAGGATTGGCGTGGCGTGGCTTGGCCTGGCTTGGCTTGGCGAGGCGTGGCTTGTCTAGGAGGACATCGGCTTCGTCTTTCTTCTGCGGGTCGTGAGCGCGCTCGGGAGTGCGCTGCGCTTCCTCTCTTGCGCCAGTGACCATGATTCGCTCGGTTGTCCGTAGCTTGGTGGCGGGCGCGCGCGCGCATGCGCACAGTGTGGGCGCGGGGGGAAGCGTGGGGGCGAAGACATTGGCGCCGACCGTGTTATCCTCATCAGTGAGTGCTTTCTTTCGTTTTCTAGCGTGATGGGTTTATCCGACCCGACAGTTCCACTTGGTGTGGTTCTTCTTGGTCTCTCTCTCTCTCTCTCTCTCTCTCTCTCTCTCTCTCTCTCT